TATCACTTTAATCAAAAATTATTTGAGTCTCTGTCCTCCCCAGCAAAGCACCAAAAAATTAACAGTTTGATCGCATAAAGCATCCCAAGATGTTACATTTACTCAATACGCCACTGGGCGAGGAAATATTGTAATCGCTAAAAATTTCGAAAAAACATATTACGGGTGTTATCTGGAATGTACAACATGAAAAACTATGTCACTCATTTTCGTCGGTCTGTCTGTATGTCTGTCCGCTAATACTTGAGGAGTACCGCTTGGATTTGAATGAAAATCACTACTATGCTAAGCACGAGAACAGATATCCCTGTAAACTTGACTTTAAAAACTTAGAATGATAGAGAAACGTTTTCAATCCGCCTAATTCTGCTATGTAATCCCACTGCCCGACGCATCGGATAGGCTGACAAATCTATCCGTACTGCAGCGCACCGGACATACTCACGGGGTGAGCAATAACACGCTGACGCACGGATGTGGGAAGGAACAACGTTGCCAGATGGACAGTATCCACCAACAGGGCAGGGAAGTAATGTATATGGACTTATTATATGGACCTGTTTTGCTGACTTCTCAGAGGATTTAAGTTGCGCAGGACTTAATCCCTCATGCACTGATAGTGGCGTTGCTTAAGAAGTGCAGAGTCAATCTACTTGACGCCATTTTTTTACACAGGTGCTCAGTGTACGTTAAAAACACCAAATAATTAACACTCTTCTGATATCTGTAATATTTTGGTCATTTACAATTTTAATAACAAAATAAAAGCATAAATCATATGAAATTGCAGGCGACACATATTAATTGCAAGACATAAATTTAAATTAGATTTTTTTAATTAGACATTCATTAAAGTTATTTAGAGGTGTTAAATATTCATAAATGTCTCCGGTAAACTTCATCATCGTACATATTTTGACCACTAATTAAAACTCTGAAGGTGCTTACTAGGAATGAGTGGGTGGTCCCAAACACTTTCATTTAAATTTTGAGCTATTTTATATTTTGATATGGAGAGAAAAAAGTAAAACTTGTCTACTGAACGAAGGGGAACATTAATTATTTATGCTGCTGTGCACAAGATTTGCTTTTTTCGTACTCTGTGGTCTGACTATACTGTTAGTTATAGCTACAGAGGCAAATCCCATCCAGCCTTGAAACGTTGTTTGAATTTTTCTACAACGAACATGTAGCTAGGTGATGGAAGTCAAACCAACGTCGTGGCAAATCGCTAAGTTTGTATGTTCAAGAAAGCCTTGAATACGAAACTAATTTACTAACACTTCTTCAAAAGGTGCGACCTCTTTGAATTTAAAAACATCAACCGTGATACATTGCTTGATTTATTGCAGATTGCAGAAAATATTTTTATTCATGAGTAACATTGATGAAAAGGTGTTCTCTTTAATGAGATCGATATAAATATTTTTGACGTAATTGCACCCTTGACAAAAGTCGCATATACGAGCCCCTTCCCACTTCAGTTGGCCCACTTCAAGATTTGTACCAAAATATGCCTTTATAAACTAAACGTGACGAAACTATTTACTTCTAAAACAATTTATTTTCTCAAAAACATTTAACTCTAGTCATAAAAAATACATATTTGAAATCACTTAGACCTATAACTAATAGAACATCTGAACAAATAAACAATGTGCGAATAAATGTGCGACGTTAACAAAGCAACAATTGAAAGATTACTATTGGGTAACATCACCTTTATCTCTCATCACGGCTGAAATTCTTTGGGGCATAGTGTTAACCAAGTTTTGACAAAAATTTGGTGTAAAACAATCCCATATCCTTTGAAGCTTTTGTCTCAGTTCGGTGATTGTACGAGCAGGATGTTGTCGTAGAACCTTTTTCATCTCGTGCCACAAAGTTTCAATAGATGACAGATCTGGACTGCTAGAAACCCATTTCAAAAGTGGTACATTATTTTCTTCCATTCATTTTATAGCCCTTTTTGAGGTATGGCACGCTGCACCATCTTGCTGAAACACAAAATCTTGGCAGGATGTCAAACATTCTTCCATCCAGGTAAAAGCGATTCTTCTAAAATTGCCAAATATTTGTTTGTATCCACATTTCCATCAATAAAATGAAGTTTTCCTACTCCTTTTGATGACATACTGCCCCAGACCATAATGGATGCTGGAAATTTCACTTTTCTCTTCAGACAGTCAACATGGAATGCTTCATTTTTTTGCGAATAACTCTACTGCGACTGTCACCAAAACAAACTTCGAATCGGGCCTCATCACTCCATTGTATTGCACACCATTGTCGAGGTGTCCATTATCTATGTTCTTTAGCCCATCTAAGCCGATTTTTCTTTTGCAGTGGAGTTAATAGTGGCTTTTCTTTGACCTATAAACAAGTTGTACAACTTTCGGGTTTTTACTTCACTTTTTTATAAGAAAACTTACCTTGCAAGTGCTAAATCCCAGTTTGTGAACCTATCTATGAGTTGTGGACCTCGAAATTCTCCTTCCAACAGCGTTACTCCACAGAGCACTTAATTGTAAATAATTGGCACGCCTGTTTTTCACGATTATTCTTCTTAATGCTCTTCGGTCGGCATTTGTGATATTACTTTTTTTCACATATCGTGGCTTAATATTAACTGAACCAGTTACGTTATATCTTCTAACAATATTTCTCACACTGTACCGCGATGAGTTTAACAAAGTTGCAATTTCTGAGTTTTATTTCCCAGAATTAAAAAATTTAATTATCAGTAACCGAATTTTCTCACTAATAACTTTTCCTCTACCCATTTTGAAAACCTTAACTACCCAAAACTATTTTAAACGTATTCTGACAGCTGTGATTAATAAAAACAATTGTCATGACTTTTATTTTCCACAGCCACCTATGCGTTATAGACTTATTTTGCATTGAAATGAAAATAGGTTGATATGCTGTAATTGCAACATGTGTTATTTTTATGCTGCAAATTTGATTAAGGAGTGATAAAGTTGGTGTTTTCTACTATATATTATCAAAATATTCTTTGTTAATATTTTAAACCTACAACACCCTGCTACATGTTTACTATTTGTGTTTGATAAGAAAAAAACTAAGATTTCCATAGTTGGGGCAACTGAAGTGGGAAGGGGCTCGTAGTAAGCCCAAGCGTCCATGGATTACGGGATCGATTTTACTAATTATAGACATGCGTGTCAAAGCTCTTGCCAAGTTCAGGTCTACTGCATTGCAAAGATACTGGGAATCTTACAAAGAGTTAAAGAACCTATTTCATTTTAGCTTCTGTGATGATCAAACCAACCAAAGCTCATATTTACTATGGCAGAGACTTAAAGTTTTGAATATTTGTGATAAATCAAAGAACAAAGGCAGCATTCCTGATTAGTTAAATGATCCATATAAAATTAATGGCCACTTTCTAACCACTTCCAATTTATCGCAGTCTGACAATGATAAACTAAATTTTTATAGCAACAACCGTTTCTGTGAATTTCCCGAATTATTTTCATTTTCCTTTCTAACCAAAGAAACCGTGAATATTTAAACGACGTAACGACAAATGCTGTTAGTGTTGATCAGACTGGCATTAAAAGGTTACTTTTGTGCTGTCCATATATTATATTGTCTATTCTAACATGCATCATGAATTCGTGTCTACTAGAAAGTGTTTCCATTCCATTTTCCAAGAAGGCCAAAATGACTGTGTTATCTGATCCTAGACCTGTTTCAATTTTACCGGTATTATCAAAGGCTCTAGAAAAAGTAATGAAGTATCAGATAAATTAGTATTTAAATAAATTCAATATACTGCTATAATATCAGTCAGGATTCCGGGAGGGTTTCAGATTATCTGCACTTCTAGGTGTAACAGATTAAATACTTTTGGACTTAGATCATGGAAAATCTATAGCTCTAGTTCTGCTAGACTATAGTAAAGCATTTGACACTATAAATCATTGATTCCCAAAGTGGTCTATATCGACCCCTCGGGGTCTATGACAACGTGCAAGGGATCTACGTCAGCGAAAAAAAATTTGGGGGTCCATGAAATAAATATGGGGGTCCACTATAGTGGATCTCAACACATACACTGATAGTACCTATTTACTTTACATCATACTATCTTATCATATCAAAACATATAAATACATTAATTATAAAAGTACCTATGAAGTAAAAAATGTATTATATATGTTTATAAAATTGTGTAAGTGGTAGGATGTTGGTATTCGCTTTGTGGTCGCAATAAATTTTGAACTTGTAAAAACCTGAGAGTAGCAGTCTCAGAGCTTCGCTACCTTGCACTGACTTCGTCACTCTATAAATACGAATGTGGGACAAATACGTTTATTCGTTTCCTGAATCTTGAAAAAAAGTGCTAAGAAAATATTTTAAAAAATAATATAAACAGGTAGTATATCACACAAATTATAGTGAGTCAGTGTTATTTTGTTTGAGAGTGTTGGAGAAAAGTAAGTACATTATTTTTTATTAAATTTTAGTTTGTACTCGTAGTTAGCAAAGCTGGATAAATTACGCCAATCATGACTTTAGTTATTAGTATTTAAATATTCAATCATGCAAAATTACACGAGTACTCCTCAATAGTTTCTTTTTGAAAGTTTTAATGCAATCGCCGTAATTCGAGCTAATTGTTGCAAGAAGGTGTTCGAATTATGGAATGTTTTCGAAAAAATCAAAAAATATTTTTAATATACAGCTGCTGGATTTTCTGTCTTATTTAAATAATCTAATTTTGCCCACAGATGACTGATGCCATGTCCGAATCTAAAAAGAAATGTAGACAGTACAGTGTTGATTATTTGAAATTTGGCTTCATTCCATCATTGCCTGACAAACAATCGCCTATGTGCCGTTTATGCAACAAAGTTTTGGGCAATGACGCTATGAAACCATCTTAACTGCAAGATCATCTGAGAAGATGCCACCCTGATAAAACAGAGAAAGATTTGAAATACTTTCAAACACTCAAAGATAAATATCAGAAGAGACCTACACTGGACAGAATGTTCGCTTCGACGTGACGTCACAAAGAAATGATGATGGATTGCGGGCGTGCTCCAATATCTCGTTACTTATAGCAAAATCCGGAAAACCGCATACTATCGGAGAGAAGTTAATTTTGCCAGCCGTTGAAGAGGTTTTAAAAACTGTTTTCACAAACCTGCATCTGATATCAGTAAAAGAATTCCCTTAAGCAACAATACTGTTGAAAGACGTATTGATGAAATGAGTTCTGTCATTGAAAGCTTTCTTATGTAATTATTTGCAAACGACCCATTTCTCTATACAACTGGACGAGTCAACTTTAACTGATAATGCAGCATTATTATTAGCATATGTTCGTTTTATTATGAATCAAGAAATCAACGAAGAACTGCTCTTCGCAAAAACTTTGATAACCGACATTAAAGGTGAATCAATATTTCATGTTTTGAAGGATTACTTCATTGAAATAGCAATTCCTTTATCAAATATAATATCAGTACCTACAGATGGAGCACCTGCCATGGTTGAACGTTATCGTGGATTTATAAGCTATTTAAAACAAAATGTGTCAGGGGTGTTAGCAATACATTGCGTCATCCATCGACAACATTTAGTTGCTAAAAATTTGAGTGTTGGATTGCATGAATCACTTCATTTAGTCATTGATGCAGTAAACCGAATCCGAAGCAACGCGTTGAATACGCGGTTATTTGCGCAGTTGTGTGAAGAAAATGACGAACACTTTCATCAATTACTCCTTCACACTGAAGTACGCTGGCTGTCGAAAGGCTTATGCTTGACAAGATTTTTTGCACTTTTTGAGGCTATTTTAGAATTTCTGGATACTAAAGGTAAAATTTTAAAAGAAAATTTAATGAAGAGGAAAACAGACATCGCCTATTTAACAGATTTGTTTACAAAATTTAATATGGTTTATTTGCAATTACAAGGCGACAGTTTAAATTTGATTAAAACAACGTCCATCTTAACAGCGTTTCTTGCCGGAGTTAAACTAATGAAGCAAAATATTGGACGGGGCGAATTTTCTCAGTTCCCCAATTTGTCACAGACAAGCTGCCAGGAAGATGACGTTTCAACTTACTTTCAACATTTAAATGCCCTCTATTCAGATTTTGAATCTAGGCTTGAGGATATTTTGACTATGGTAATACCACCGTGGATAATTAATCCATATGGTGACATAGAAGAAACGAATGTCATAATACAGGAACTGACTGAACTAAGTACAAACGAAGAACTTAAGGTTCAGTTTAAAAACGGATATCAGCAATTCTGGCTGCAAAACAACATACCCGTTACTTATCCCGTATTATGGAATATAGCGAGGAAATTTTTAATTTCCTTTCCATCGTCATACCTAGTGGAAAGGGGGTTCAGCGCTGTTAACAATCTCCTAACGAAAAAAAGAAACAGACTGGACATCATTAGAAGAGCAGATTTAAGATTAACCCCTACAAAATTGACGCAAATGTTGATAATTTATTATTGAATCATAAGGTTCATCCTTCTCACTAAAAATATTGACTTATTGCTCATGTTATTTTATTTATAGTTTATTTTGTGTTTATTGGTGTCTGACCAATAAATGCCCGCATTGGGTATAAGTGCCCGCATTGATTTTTTTAAAGAACCCCCCTTTATAGAAAATATTTTTTTTTAAATTATTCTGAAAGTTCAAGGATAGGTACACACTAAAATTCGTTAACTGTTTGCCTATTATTAGATAACTTAAACGTATAAGTAGCGGAATTTAATCAGACTAACAGTGAAATTATTGTAGAACATACGTGTATGTTATAATTAATAAACGAACTTATTGGTCAGACACCTCTTTATTTAATGTTACGTATATTTTACATAACAGATACAAAATTTTATTTTGAGTAGTTTTAATTTAAATTCAATTAATAAATGTATAAATTAACATGTGTTTTTACTTTAAGTTTTTAACACTAAACTTCACTACAGTTAGAAATTTACAAGAAGTCAATATCAGGTAAGTAGGGGGTCTACCCAACATTGAAAAACATGGCAAGGGGTCTACGACACAAAAAAGTTTGGGGAACTCTGCTATAAATCATCAAATTATTTTCCATATTTTATCGGATGTTCCGAATCTCCGAATCCGTTATTTCATTACTCACCAGTTACTTACCCAATCGTTACCAATTTGTGGAAATATCTAAAAGTAGATCCAGTGTACGTAAGATTGGTTGTGGTGTGCCACAAGGTTCAGTATTGGGTCCTATACTTTTCTAAATATATTCCCCGAATATAACCAAGGTTTTTAATAAATGTTCCCCTCATTTGTGTGCAGACGATACACAGATGCAATTTTCTTTTGGCCACCTCAGCTCAGCTGTTGCAAATGATGAGCTTAATATGGAATTGGGTAGACTATACTGTGAATCTCTGTCACATCAACTTACCATTAACCCATTTAAATATGCCGCTATGATATTTGGTAAGCAAGAAGCTACTTTGCAAGATAACTTTACTGTCAGAATGTGCCTCAATACAATCAAGAACGTCAAAGTGGCAAATAACTTACGTTTGGAAATGGATAACGAATTGAGATTCTCTGATCATGTAAAAAATGTATCCAAAGGGCATTTTTGTTTCGGTTGAAGTTGTTGTTCCCACACCGCCATATTCTGCCAATTAGATTAAAGATTATCTCACTGACCACCTAGTTTTGTTTCTATTCACTTACTGCGATGTCGTGTATGGACCATGTTTAACGAAGATGGATAGTGGACGAAGAAAATCCAAAAGTCATGACTAACGTTCATATTCGGCATCCGCAAGTTTGACAGGGTATCACACAAGCTAGGGGAAGTTAGTTGGCTCAATATAGCTTCCAGAAGAACACTTCATTCAGCAACATTATTCCATAAAATTGTTTTCACCAAAACGCCTCCAAATTTATGGACTGGGATAAAATTTAGAGATGACGTCCATAATTGAAATATTCGTAGTAAGTTCCGTATCTCTCCCCCTCTACGTCGAGAGATCTTTTACATTTAATAGTTATAGAATACATAATGACATTCCCTTTTATTTTAAGAACCTATCGTCCAAATCATTCAAAGTCAATTACAAAAAGTATCTACTACAACCTGAAAAATGAAGTCATGTACGCATATATTAATTAGCATTACAATAAACCTTCACCAATCAATGTGGCAGGATCAATATCCTCCGTATTTTTATCTACACTATTTAGTCTCAGCCATCTGTATTTTTTTTCTCATCTCCGCTTATAATTCTCACATCATAGTTGTTCATTATTTTTGACTCAATTGGGTCAGCAAATGCATCAGTTTTTTCTGTATGTTGGCCCTTTTTGCAGTTGCATTTATTACTTAAATGAGTTACTGTAATTACTGGCTGTAATTGCGAATAAATTTGTTTATTATTATGACTACTATTATCATTATAATTATTTTTATTTGCTCCAAGAAATATTCTTGAATTTGACATATCTTGATTTTCTGCATATTATGCTTTAGCACTAAGTGGCAAGGCTCCTTACTGACTGTACCATAAGCTTTTGTGTGGAAGCCATTCAATACCTGCACAAAGATATATACGAAATCATTTTTTGCTTGACCATATGTCAGCTGTGAAATTATTACACCCAGCTTCCACAGTTCTAAACCAAATAAAAGCCCCCGTCAGAATTTAATTATCATCAGTCTTAACCCTATCACGTTTCAGTGGGTTGAAAAAAAACTGCTCTCATTTATAATCCCTAGCGTAGCTCTTAGCAGTCCTGGCATGTCTCGGACTTAATCCTATCCTTTAGAACGACCTAGTGTTTACAATTAACCAGGTATTTTAATGAAAGTTTCAGGTAAAAAACGAGCCAGTTTAGTAAATTGAATGTGCCTTGGGATAGGCCATAAATCATAAAACAATCTGAACAATCAGCTAAAGAAGCCATCTACATTATAAGCGTTCACTGTCTCATTTACTTCAGCACGTTGAGTGTTTTTAGTTTCGGGGCAAACTTAATCAATTTTTCTTATCAATATACATGTAAATTAAGGCGATGCCTGCTGAAAATGGTGGCTTGCGGAGGAGTTTTATGGGTTTCTGGCTATTTCACTTTAGGCTGGCCCGGTTGTGTAAATTCAGGTGCATATCCGTTGGTTTCTATACGCGCTTTGTTCCAAGTGAAAGCCTTAATCATTTTACTTCCTACGCCACTGGCGTAAACGGCTAAATATACAGAGATGCTCGAATTTGACAGCCGACCAGATCTTCATTTTGAAACAAAGTGATTCAATATTGTAGGGTTATAAAGTACTTATGAGGAAACTTCAAAATGGCGCACAGCTGCCATCTAGAATTTTTGAACTGGCACTTTTATACTTAAAGATGCGTCAATTATATTTCTGCTTTCTAATTTGACCCATTGGAAGAATAAGTTAAAAGCAATGTGTATTACAATCACATTGGTGTTAGACTACTTTCCCAGTTTTCAGTTTCTTCTCCTGTACTTATGCAATGATATACCGCATCAGTCAACTAATTTGATTAAGATACATACTTCTCAAACGTATATAGATGAAATATTTTTCTTTGCGAGCAGCAATGCTGTACTCACGAGACGTAAGAAAGGTGCAGCTACATATAATATCTTTAATTCCTTTACACCAGCTTTTCTGAATATATGCCGCAATTAATGAGACGGGCTCAGACCAAAATTTTATCTTCATGATAGCAGTTTTGCGAAAGTATCCTCAAAGTGGTCGCACCGGAAGTAGATACAAACTAGTCCCATTTTCTCCAGGTTCAACTAAGATTTTCTTTATGGTAGAAGGATCTAACCAATAGAATCTCGAAAACTATCAATTTGCGAAGTAGACAATTTGTTACGGAATTAACACTATTTTTTAGCCTGATTTTCATTCTTTTCTCGGTCACCCTGTACTATGTAGAGGAACTGCAGCATATTTGGAATACTGGTCTGTTTTTAGGAAAACGAGATAGGAAAATAAAAAAATGTATTAAATTATTGTGAAATTATTAAATTTGATGATATATACAACCAAACAAAACAAAAATCAGGAACCCTATTAAAATATTTATCAAAATTAAAAACTCCAAAAGCTTAAACTGCTCAGGGTGCAGGTAATTTGGAATATAGTATTCCAAATTATAATCACCTTTTTTGACAAT